ACGGGCAGACGCTGATGGCGGGCACTGGAGGAATGCGCAGGGCAGGAGCACGGAGGGGACGGAGCAGGACTCAGTCCGTTGGCCAGAGGCACGAGCTAAGGGCACACGGGGCCACAGTGTTGGGGCGCTGGGCTCTCGCTCGCCCTCGGCATCGGCCAAGAGCAGCGTGTGGCCCTGACTCGGCGAGACCCACAGAGATGCTGCTCGGTGCCTTCGCCACGGGACAATTCCCTTCGGAAACCAGTAAAGGAAGATTATGGGAAGAGTTGGAGGGGTTCAGCCTGGAGAAGGGAAGGCGAAAAAGGGGAGACCTCAGAGCCCCTTCCAGTGCCTAAAGGGGCTCCAGGAGAGCTGGGGGGGGACTCTGGATCAGGGAGGGGAGTGATAGGACGAGGGGGAATGGTTTTACACTGAAAGAGGGGAGATTTACATGAGATACTAGGAAGAAATTATTTCCTGTGCGGGTGGTGATCCCCTGGGGCAGGTTGCCCCGAGAAGCTGCGGCTGCCCCATCCCTGGAGGTGTTCAAGGCCAGGTTGGACGGGGCTTGGAGCAACCTAGGCTGGTGGGAGGGGGCCCTGCCCAGGGCAGGGGGGTAGGACTGGGTGACCTTTAAGGTTCCTTCTAACCCAAACCATTCTGTAATTCTATGACCCCATGTTGTGTTGGAGGATCCAGGGAAGGAAGCACTTGAAAAGCATTTGCAAACACAACCGACGCTGACACTCTGCCATAAGAGCGGTGGCAACTGTCCCCTCAGGGTGTGCAAAACACCGCAGACAGGCTCAGGCCCGGCCGGCAGCTACCGAGCCCCGACTTACGGAGCTTGGCGAAGGCGGCGTTGATCACGCACTGGATGAACACCAGGGTCAGGGCATACTTGAACTTCTCCTGCTTCGCACCTTCCCCGTACCGTCCCCTCGTGCTGCAGAAAGGGACAACCTCAGACAGCGCCAAGACACGGTGAGACACTGGCCGGGACCCCACACGGGGACGGCTCCCCCGGGCCGTGACCCCACCAGGGCCCTCAATGACGACGCTCCCCCCGGGGCTTCCCCCTCCCGGT